ATATTATTATGCCCTGGTGGTAGATGTAGTATGAGGTCTCCAGGAATGTGTACTCACTACTCAGGTATTGAACATAAACCATGGCGCAATACAATCAGGGCCTGCTATAGCTGTGGGGATTTAAACCCATTTAAAGTCAATAATCCTAATCACAAGACCTTGCCACCTTGTTCTCTGACACTATTATTTTGTATGTTTGACCACATGACTGTGAGAAGTTGGTATGATACTTATATTATAATTTCAAATGTTAAGTAAATTACACAAGTAACATCTTGTCTTTCTCTCTTGTTGCTTAGGTGCTAACCCCAGAAGAGAAGGAACTTGCCCACCGGAGTGAGTACAACTTTGACCACCCTGATGCCTTTGACTTTGAGCTGCTGTTTGACACCCTGAAGAAACTAAAGAGAGGGAGGAACGTTGAAGTTCCCATCTATGACTTCACCACACATAGTAGAACCAAACAGCAGGTACTTGTAACACCTTTGCTTCGGGTATTTTTACTTCTGAGTATGGAAGTATTTTTTTGCATGACTGATGAGTTCTGTCCAAATTGCTTTGGTTTCATGGTGAGTGGGCGGCAAATTTGCTAGATGATAGAAAGGTCATACCTGTAGGTGATTCAGCAGGTGCCAGCCTGACATGTCTGATTTCTTGTTACTTGTTAGTATCTGGACTATCTAGGGAGATGCAGTTTTCTTCATCCTGCAGTAGTATTTTTAACTTCATATGTGACTTTTCTTAATGGGATGAACATTACTTACATTTGTACTTGACAATGTGATGCTCAACCAGAATTGCTGCTTGCTTTCAGCACACCCTGTATGGGGCTAATGTCATCATCTTCGAGGGCATCCTTACCTTTGTCAACCCGGAGGTGCGGAAGATGCTGGACATGAAGGTGTTTGTTGACACAGACTCGGACATCCGACTCGCGCGCCGGCTGCGGAGGGATATCACGGAGCGGAATCGTGACCTTGTGGGAGTTCTGAAGCAGTACGACAAATTTGTCAAGCCAGCGTTTGAGCAGCACATTGAGCCGTCCATGGCTCATGCTGATATTGTGGTGCCCAGAGGTGAGTTTTCATGCTCGTAATTTTTCATTCAAGCTTTCATTTGATCAATACTTAAAATTGACTTCTAAGACATAGAAATATCAGCATTTATTGGATATTTACTTCTGGATATGGAAGTATTCTTTTGGGTAGCTGAGCTGTGAGTTAAGTGTATCTGTTTGTCTGGACAGAGTAGACTGACACTGCGCATGGGTAATTATTTGATAAACCAAAGTTTATTTCTGGTGTAATATCTTATACAAGATGATATATTCCACAGAAAGTGTTGAAAGTTAACCCTTTTCAACCCTTGCTTACAGGAGGGGAGAATGAAGTGGCCATAGACCTCATCATCAGACATGTGCACTCTGAGTTAGAGAAGGTTGGTGATTCTGTCATATCTGACACTTGTGTATGTTGTTTGCAATATACATGTATAAAATGAAAAAACTGAAGTACAAATCTCTTCTGAAGGACTGAAAGTTTGTGTTACAAGTCAAGTCTTCTTTCTCTTTTCTTTTTGCTGCATGTAAAAAGTTTGTTGATTAGACCCTTTAAAATATCTTTATGATTTGTGAACAATAACAAGAACCATTTATTTGTGGATACTGCATACTATTAGGTTCAATTTCATATTACATATTACAAAAGTTGACACTGGTATCTGTTCTATTTCTTTCAGAGAGATGTCCACTTTAGGTATGTAACATTTTGTTTTACTTTTCATTGAATAAAATGTACTAGGTCTGAGTTATAACATGTTACATCATTGCCATATAAAATAAGATAGACTATATCGTGTAAGCTAATAAATTACCTAACTAATTTTTGTCTTCAGATCGCAGTTAGCGGCGGCAGGGCAAGGCCAGCCACTCCCGTCCAGTCTACATGTTCTGGAGAGTACTCCACAAGTCAGAGGCATGCACACTATCATCAGGTAGGGGGTGCTGGTGTACTGTTTGTACATCTACATTGTTGTTGTACCATCCTTATATACATTGTAGCTGGGCCTGTTGCCTAACCCTGTTAACCAATAGAGAAGTAGTAGCCGCCAAAGGTTAATGAAGGAAATTGTTGATTCTTGATATTTTATGGTTATACAAGGTTGTAAATTTTTTCCTGTTAACTGATGAAACGTTTTTTGATGTACTCTGCAGGAACAGAGAGACCAACAGAGATGAGTTCATATTTTACTCCAAACGACTGATGAGACTGCTGATTGAACAGGCTATGGCCATGTTACCATTCAAGGTAAGGGTCAGGGGACATAGTGTTTTATGGTAAAAGGAGCTGGGTAAGAAAAAAGACAATACTTTTGAACTTATTTTGGATCTATGATCTAATAATATTATACATGAAGAGACATACAGCTGCTGCACTTTTTAAGTGATATGAAAACTGGGACTTAAAATCACTGTGTTCTTTCCTTCTGCTCTTCCAGACTGTGAGGGTGAAGACACCACAAGGATCAGCATATGAAGGCATGAGGTTTAATTGGAAAAGGGTAAGAATCATTTGTGCATGTAATTTCTCTAGAATTTATTTAGATTATACAACAAAAGTGACTTTGTTTCGAGTTTATGCTCATTCAGATGGTTGATAATAGTGTACTTTACTAACCAGACTCCTGTTTGGTTGTTAGTTATGTGGGGTGTCTATCCTGCGTGCTGGTGAGACCATGGAGCCGGCCCTGTGTGCAGTGTGTAAGGACATCAGGCTGGGCAAGATCCTCATCCAGACTAACCTCAACACAGGAGAGCCAGAGGTAAGGATTGTTACCTCTGGAATGAAGGTTTTATTTTCAGTGCAATCGCCTGGTTGTTTGCAGTGTGTCATATACTAGTACTGTTGTTTGAATAGAGTCATAGGAAGTTCGGTGGGCAAAATAAAGTACCAAATGGTTTCTTATAGGCTGGGATGAAGTGAAGTCAAATTGGAGGTCAATATGAACAATATTATACTGCCCTTTAGGCTGTAGTCCAAACTAATTGTAGATATGCACCAAATGGGTAGGCACATTAAATAAAACCAGCTCATAAAACTACTCTACTTTTTGCAGCTCCACTATCTCCGCCTACCAAAGAACATCAGTGAAGACCATGTCTTCCTCATGGATGCCACTGTGTCCACTGGTGCTGCTGCCATCATGGCCATTCGTGTCCTACTGGTGAGTGGAAGCCAGATATGTAAGGAATCAAAGTGTGCAGTACCAACTACTGTTGCTAGGTGGCACTACTAACTGTGACTGCATCCCACATTACCACGGTTTAGGACATTTTAAATTGTGAGATTTTGTTGAAATATACCAAGTCTTTTTTCTTTGAAAAATAATTAAAATTTTATTAAGTTAGGACACTTGTTCTGGCACTGTAGTATCTAACCCAGGCCTGTACTGGTGTTTCTCTCACCACAGGACCATGATGTACAAGAGGAGAACATCTTTTTCCTTTCCATGTTGATGGCAGAGTCAGGTGTGTAGTAATCAGAACTAATCATATATTCAAGCTATAAATGTTCTGGCTGAATATGTCTTGAATGTGACCAGACCTTAATTTTATGGCAGTCCTGATGAATGCTCACTCACTCCATGGAGGTATGCTCACTCCAAGAAGCTTTAAATTTATTTGATTTTTTACCTTCTTGCCCACTCCTTATCTGGTTTATCATTTTATGTTGTTTCCCATCTTGCAAGGCCCTCAGGGTTAGACATGATTACACTTTAGCTGTTGAAGTTGAACAGTAATAGGGAATATTAAGTGGTACCTGTAGTAGATGATGGTTATAAAAATGACACTAGTCTTGTTTTTCTGAGTGTTTGAAATCTCATACCCAAGTTTCTTCCTTTGATGACCTCAGGAGTACAGTCTGTAGCGTATGCCTTCCCGAAGGTGAAAATCATGGCCACAGCCGTGGATCCAGAAGTTAATGATAAGTACCACATCATCCCTGGCATAGGTGAGTCAGACAACATCTCTGATTTATCTGACTGTTGACCCTAGGATATATTGTGTGGGCACTCAGCTAGGGTGTCAACAAAACTGTATCTAAGGCCCTTTTCCACTAGACCACAACCACTGAAGAACCAAAATTGGACCTGTGTGACCCTTTATTTTATGATTGGTATATAATGCACAATGCAAAAGTTTAAGTTTTGATTAAATACAAAACACCTTTTTCTTTATCTACTTGTCTAAATCCATTGAGGGATGTATGTACTAGCTAATATGTACTGATGGAAAAAATCAGTTAAGGTCCTCTGTACGGTACCTTATCATGAATGATGGTTGTAATGTATAGTTTGGAATGCTTTTATTCTTATTACAGATTTATTTGATTCTCTTGAGAATGATATGCCTGCAAAAGTGCCATGCATTTTAAAATCTTTTTGATGACCAATGCCTATTATTTATTCCAGGCAACTTTGGTGACCGGTACTTTGGAACAGACTGATTGATGAATCAATATCATACTCAATGCTCAACTAAAAGTTCTTTTAAGTTTGTTCATTTTAAACATTACTGGTGATAGTATTAGTAGCCCTTTGTCAGACTATAAGGCAATCAGTCTCAACATTATTCACTAAATTCTAATCTTAACAATGAATAATTTATGTCTACAAGCAGAAATATTCTTAATGTGTACTAGTATGAAAAATAATTTATTGTACATTGTATATTTTAAACTCTAAATTCTAAAGAATTACAAATGGTCTGTACATTTTCCACAGTCATGACTGCTATAATTGATATTGCTCAATTGCAAACTTATTCACTACAAATGTTTGTCTGTTAGCCATTGTCTGACTGATAGAGAGTATAGCATTAAAAGGGGGTAATTGGTTTTCACTTTCTTGTCATTACTTTATCCAATAACTGAATAACTGTATTCCACAATGTAGTTCCAGCACTATGAGGGCAGCTGTCAATTGCTTTTTTTTTGGGGGGGGGGGTTCTAATGTGCTTATTTTATCATGACATACAAGTTCTCAGTACTCCTCGCCTTGAGTCTATAGAAAGGCCCACAGGAAACTCAGTTCTGAGAACTGATATGCCATCAGAAAAAAAGTGCACAATAAGCTTTCTAAAAACCTGACTTGTAAAGCCTGCTAGGCTAGGGCAGGTGATGAGGGTACGTAGCATGTGGAGATGGGTTCCTCACACATAGTGGTTCAGGATAGCCTCAAACTTCTCCTGTTTCCCAGAGGCTGCCTTAGGCTCACCCTTCTGCATGATGTAGTCCTAGAACACACAAGAGTATAAACAAGAAGTCACACATTTTAAACCTCCCTAAAGTATTTAGAGTATTTGTAATTCTATTATCACAGCCAAATTGATGGTCTTGTGTACTTTCAATTGACCAAGTAACCTTGCAGGCTGAGAGCTTGTTCTGACATGCCCAAAGTCACTGATAGCTATTAGTATATTAAATATTATTAAGTAACTTGCATGGGTACACTCACTTCCTCCCAGCCTGCCAATTAAGCAACATTACCTTATGGAAAATCTGTAGTCTCTGTGGCAACCAAATGCTCCTCCCCATGGTATGTAGTTAAATACCTGTCAGTCTACACATAATGTCAGACATCTGAGAAATGCAATTGCATAACATTGTGCTAAATAAAATGAAATCATTATAATTCCTGTACACCCTATTATGCAACACGCTATCTTTGATAAAGACAATCAATCATAAGTGTTTATGTTCACATTAATGCAGCTTCACATGTACAGGAACTGCATGTACATATCTACATCAGATACATGTACATCATGAGTGGCAGATTGTGGGCAATTAAAAACAGTTTGGGGCATCAAATACTGCAAGCAGAATAGTGTATAGATGTTATGAGTAAAATTAAGTCATTACTTCTGGGTGGGGAAGTACTGTTTTGGGTGGATGAGCTGTTTGTGTGTCTGTCAGGACAGAAATGACAGCACATGGATGGGGAAGATTGACAGAACGTTAGAAAGTCAGCCCTGTCAAACATTGTTACATGTATATAATGTCCTTGTTTCAGAGTTTCTACTTGTATCTGTATTTGCCACTTGAAATGTCTTCTGCCCAGCTAAATTAGCTTGGGTAAATTGTGTCTGAAATATGGCTTGTAAATGTGGTGTCTACTTACAGTCAGATAGACTAGGGCATTTATATAATAACTGTCAGCCACAAAAGTGTCTTGAAGATACTAGGCATGCTAAACTGTCTTAGCCAAGCCTCCACCCATGTGAGCTGCCAGTACCATACTAAAGTCTGGTAGTTTACAAAAATTGAATTTATAATAGCAGGGTCTGGTCATGTAGTATTACTGGCCTCTCACATGTAACTGAAACACAGCAGTTACATTTGTAATTTTGCCATGGAAAATGTCTAACAATCTCCATCATACAAAATAATTCAAGCCATTGGTTGAATTCTTCAAGGAGTAAGATGATGCTCTCTTTCTTCAATGAAGGATAAAAGAGCTGATTTTGAATTGTGCAATGAATGACAAAAAACCTTCATCAAAGACCTTCATCGACATATCTAAGAATCTCAATCTCAAATTCTAAAGATTATAATGTTGAGTACATTGATAGACAACAAACTCTCAAGTAACTGTCATAATGATTTATCAACTTCAGACTTTTCTAAGAACTGCCAGGAGAATTGGCTTTAGATAGGAAATCTTTTCTTCCCCCTAATCTTTATTTCAATATCTAGTGCTCTTGGGGTCAATGGTTATCTTGGGCCTTAGATAAGTGCAATGGTGCTCTATCCATCTCTGTCACAGAAAGCTTAGTAACATGTCAAAAATTGCATTAGTCAAATATACCTTGAGGTGATGATCATGATTTCCACCTCTGCATGTCTGTGATAAACTGACTGTATACTAATGAATTATGTATGGATAAACACTCAGTATTCCTTTCATATATCTGATAAGGTATTGTAGCAGAACACATAATAGCCTATAGGTATTTACATGGAACCCAAAGTACTACACTAGTTTAAAAATTTATAGTAGGGTGCATTAATTGAATATGTATGGGTTCAAGGTACAATCTACGAAATATGTGAAAATCAACTCAAAAAGTTTTGTTCTCTTGTAAAGCCCTCTTTTATCTGGCACTATATGGGGTCATGTGAACTGCCAGCCAACACTTCGTACTAAGGCCACAGCAAGTAATTTTTTATGGATGACATCAGCACACGGATTCGCCTGATTTTGAAAAAAAAAACAAGAAATTTTCTTGCCCCATGACAGTGGTCAACAGGATGAAACTGGGCAAAGATGTCTGTTGCCATGCCGGAACGTGGATGACAGATAAATATGAAGAGAGGAGACAAGACAAGGCTCTGATTTAATGTTTTGTCTTTTACTTTGAAGCAGTGATGTATTTTGATCCTTGTATTTCGTTCCTTTGTAATATACTATGTGATGGTGGCTGTGTATATGTGATGTTCCCTATCATACAGGTGCAAACCTGACATATTCCTCTAGCATTCAGCAGTTTTCGCCTCGCTGTTGTGCACAAAAGAATCTCTGTGGCTTTGTCAACTATTGTGCCTTAGCTACTATTGACCATGGGGTTCGGTCATAAATTATAACAATTTACTATGTTATGGAACCTTTGAGTATAATTCAAGCCTTCATCATCCAGTCTACATTGTAGGTGCCATCCTTCATAATTACCGCCGGCTTTCTATTCCCCATTGTTGCTGGTTGCTGCGGAAGTCGATGAGCGACAATAGGGAGCTGCCGGTAATTATGGAGGATGGCACCCAGGCTATTCATCACCACCTACTCCAAACTACTAGAAAGTATTTCTGTGGGGAATGAAAAACATTACCAGATTGAAATTGGTAGGCAATTAGCATCAGGGTTCTACCTCATCCATCATATTGATGGGAGAACCAAGAGCATAGACAAGATAGTGCCCACTAGCCTGGGTACCATCCTCCATAGCTACATGTACAACTGACTCTCTCATCACTCAGGCTACCATGCCAGCGACAAGACAGAGTGGGTGGTAAATATGGATGATGGTGCAGGCTGCTTTGCTCCCTTGCCATAATACCATTATGCCAAAATGTCATGGCTACAGCAACTTCAGGCAGTATTGAGTAAGCATAAATTTTGTTCTGTGTCCTGAATAGATAGAATTCAGGACAAAAGTCTCAACAAAAACGTCAATTAAAATCCAAGAGTTGCCAAACAAGGTTGCCGTACCTCACACTCCTCTATAGTGGCAGTGCCCTTGGCGATCTTGGCGCCAATCCCACTGCTGAAGCTCAAGTAACGCTCCTGCAAAATACAAAAGGTCAGTTTTGACACACAAACTTAATGCACATTAATGTCTTTGTCCTGCAGGTTTTGCTCAATTTTGGAAATGGATGATGTTTCTGGAAAACTTAGAAGTTGAGAAGTCAGAAAATATCAAACTGAAATCGTAATATCATTGTTTTCTCTGTAGCCTTCCTCTCTCCAATTGGAAGCTTATACCAACAACAGGTTGAATATTTTGACTTTTTACTGTAGCTTCCATTAGACTAACTTGAAACTATTCTATCATTTTAAAACATTACTTTCAAACTTATTGGAATGGTTGGGGAGACATGGAGAATTCTAAATGTAAGAGCATTAATAATCAAATTCTCCCTGATTGTGTTTTTTTCTCAGAATTTATAGTGTTAACTTCTCTATATTCTGGACTGATGGGCTGTTTGGCTCTTGTTCTTGATCAATTCATCCCATACCAAAATCAGAGTGGATGAGAAGAACAAACTTTGATTTAATTTTTAACACTTGAGAATTCAATATAATCTTGTGAAATTAGGCAAAATATGAAGACATCTGAAACCATTTGAAACTATCTAACTATCTAAACTTAAAGACTGATACTAACCTTGACCAGCCTGGTGAGTACTCCCTCCTGTAACACCTTTGCAGCGCTCTTCAAACCCCGAGCGAAGGCATCCATGGCACCGACATGCGAGATGAACATGTCCTCCAGATCAGTGGACTCACGACGAACCTTACAGTCAAAGTTCAGTCCGCCCGGGGCCAGCCCTCCCATCTCCAGTACAGTCTGTGTGCAGGAGAAATGGAATGTTTAAGAAGGGCTATACATACATAGAAGCCATGTCCACTGTCATATTCCACTGTCATTTCCTCCCAGCTTGAGACAATTTTGACCTCCCATGTAGCCTTCCTGTCAGTCTGTGGTTTATCCCCCCTCACCTGTGATCTTCTGTACTTAAATTACAGACATATAAGCAAACACACCAAAAACAAAAGCTCCATACACATGGTAAATTATTTTTTATTGACAAATATTCTAAACATGATTTTACCTTCATAACCATAGTGCAGTTCTTCACATCCATAGGGAACTGGTCTGTGTCCCAGCCCAGGTCTGGGGACCCTGTGTTAGAGTCTATGGACCCCAGCATGTCGAAGCTACAAGTGTAAAATAAAATCATGTCATATTCATGCTGTAAATGCACTATAAAAAGTACTTTATTTTTTTATGGAGTCGAATGTGATATTAAAAAAATCAATTCAATGCTTATCTATTGAAGTATATAATCATCATAATGATATCCCTAGCAAGTCCTTCAGGATAATGTTGTGCCCCCTCCACTCAGGTGAAAAAGACTAGCTAGTTTTGGTAAGGATGTCCTCTAGGATGGGAACGTAAAGCTGGAGGTCCTGTGTACATGTATGAGGACAGCCAAGCCTCAAGCAAGGTAAAGACCTCACCACACAATCAAACTGGACCAGGTGTCTAAAGACAGTTTACCGGTAATGCAAAAAAAACATGTACAATCCTGATGGGATACTTACGCAGATGCCATGACAACATCATGCTCATATCCATGACCAGCTAGTGTAGTGTGGTTGGGCTCTATATTCAACTGTAGAACACATGGGTATGAAATACATTTAGTAGACAGACATCAAGGACTTTGCTAACATAAAAACTTTACTAAATCTGGATATAACTGCTGAATGATAATAAGTAAATCATAATCGCCAGTATCAATTGAAATTCAGTATTGCATAAGATTCTACAAAAAAAGGCAAAATCATTATCTGATATGCTGTCTGTTATCTTATTTTGTATGAACATTGGTTACTTAATAATACCTTAAAGTCTTTCTCCAGGCCAAAATGCTTCAGAAACCCAATGACTGTCATGGCATCTGGAAAAAACACATTCAAATAAACACTGGTAATCAAGATGTCAAGCTCCTTGTACAATAAAAAAAAATAGTAATTACATGCCTTACTTACAAATTCATTAATTGAACACTTAACTGAACAATGAATTTTCAAAACAATACAGGGTGGTCATCAAGTTAAATTCCCCTGACCATAGTCATACTGGTGCTTGGTAGGTTCCTTGGGTTTGGGTTCCAAAAGGAACTGTCCTGTGAAGCCAATCTTCTTCTTATGAGCTGGAACAGACAGACAGCAATCATGGTAAACATTGGAGAGCAGCAGTTTAGAGATGTTATAAGAAGTCATTGTAAATGATGTATGCACTTTTACTAGTGAGAATGCTCTACCTTAGCCATGATAATGTTTGATATGGGTGTTCTGGATTGAATGATATTTTGAATCACACAGGCTTGTAGTCAATACACACAGTACTGTAATCACACAAAAGAATGTACAAAAATGCTTCTCAAGTGTTATGAAAAACTGAGATCAAGGCAATATTCACACCAAACCAAAAGAGAGGGCACTCAGCTGCATGAACTTACCGACTGCCATCTTGAAGAAGTTTGCCATGTGGGACAGCTCTGCCAGAACATCTGTGTTGAGGATAGTGTGGTAACCCTCACGTCCGCCCCAGAACACTGCATAACAGTCACAAGGAGCAACAGGGAGACATGCCTGAATGATGTTAATTTTACAACTTCGCACATATAAAATATATATACAAAGGCAATGATTTTACAGCAAAAGTTCATTACATATATACATAATACAGACATTACAAGTGCCCAATATTACTGCTCTAATGCCTGAAAATTAATGGACAGGGACAGATTTTTCACTTCTCTAGAGTCACTCATTCAATCAAGATGTTATGATTTGAATATGAAGTGAAACATGAAACTACATTCTTTACCAAAGTTCTGGCCTCCCAGGCGCTTGGTGACCTCTAACCCCTTCTTGACCTGTGCAGCAGCATGGGCCACGATGTGAGCGTCTGGGTTGGTGGCTGCACCGTTCATGTACCTGGTAATAAACAATAGGAGACAGCAGATCTAGACCTTCTTTCCAATAGAAGGCAATTGCTGAGCAACTGTACAGTGACCAAAATTGGATTTGTGTGCACCTTTATTAGAGAACTTTATTGCACGTCAATTATACATGGTACAATGTATGGCAATGACCATTAAAAATTTTGAGCACGCACGCACACACACAGCGACGATGAAGCCTCTGATAAATATCTCCATATACATTATACGTCTAACCCTCGGAAGACGGGGAACAACAGACGTTAAACCTCATGAGTGAGTGAGTGAGTGACATTATTATTTGATAATCCACTTGTGGATGTAGGGTTAATTTTGACATTATGCCATTCCACTTTCTGCAAAAGGTTCTGACCTAGGGTTGGCAAACAGGTTGCAGGTCCCCCACAGCAGTTTCATGCCGGTCTCACCCTGCAGTTTCACAGCCAGATCAACAACCTCATCCAGGTTTCTGTTCGTCTCTGCCAAATCATTCCCCTCTGGAGCAATGTCCCTTTGGTTTAAGTTAGACAAGAGGGTAAGCACAGTGTTCAATATGAAAATTATGCAGACAGGAAAAATCAATTCATTATGACTTTAAATACAACAAAAGAGCTATTTTTGACAGTTACAGGCAAACACTTTAACTCAAGTAATGAGTCAGTGGAAAGAATGGAATGGCTGCCACGTATAGAACGTCTGCAATGCTTGTTATCCACTCTAATTGCCATTTTTAGACTGTTACTGCATAGCTGATGCAAAAACATTGTCGCAGGTATGTCTAATCTACTTTACAGCTATATATAGCTTCTAAGGCAGACACTCAGCTTGATTAGTACCTTTATAATATAATAGAATGGCTGTTGCATGTATAAAACTTAGACTGTTAATATGTGCACGGCATAAATGTACCTGATGCAAGAACCTTGTCTCAGTGCAATGAAACTAAAAGAAAAACTTGTAGTCCATGTCTGTTTAGTCCATAGCTGGTTACTTTCTACAATTTACATGTGGATCTGTCTTTCCAACACAATAATTAACATATAGGTTGAATATATACAGAATATATACATGTACTGTATTGAAAATATACAGAAAATTTATTGTCATGGTATTCTACATTATATCAATAAGTCAGATATTAAATTTTAAGATGAAACCAAATTAAAGACAAACCTGTCATGGAATGTCCAATACTTCACCTGAAAAGCAAAATAAACTAATGTAATGTCAGGCTCAACTGTGTTTCGTAGTCTTGAACATGAGTAATTTAGAAATATATAGTGTCATATATAATCATGATATAAATGTTTACTTAGTAGTGCTGAAGGGCAGTTATATACTGGTTATACAGACACAGAATTAGAAGTTTAGATTGGCGATATTTCTACCAATATATTAGATGATTAACTGTACATGTCCTTAGTTTGAAACGTTGACATGTGTCAATCATTTCTCACCCCCAGCTTTGTGAAGAACTCAAAGGCAGCCCCCAGTCTTCTCTTGGCGTTCTCCATGGAGTCAGTGCCATCTTCCCAGGGACGGTGCAGGGTGGGGAAACCAAAGGGGTCAGCACCTGTCAAAGGAGTTAATCATGTTCAACCAGGTTGATGGAAAAAAAGGTGGTAAGACTTGGTCTCAACTGGACTAGTTTTCCACCCCCCTGACCAGCAGACTGGACCACCTTTTCTGCCTTTTGGACTGGACTTCTCTTTCTACTAACCCTTTTCAACCTTCACCCTGCTGAAGTTATCTTTCAGCACCAAATTTGTGTTTTGTTACATTAGCTATACACAACAGGGAGAAAGGTAAATGCAGGTATAGTTTTATAGTATCTGTGATATTGTGCCAGTTATAATTCTACGATTTGTAAATTGGGGGTTTAACCTCTAATCTTACCTGTGCCCCTGAAAGTGTGCCAGTAGCAGACAGAGAACCTCAGCCATTCTTCCATGGACTTCCCATACACAATCTGCAGGACAGGTTCAATTCAGCTAATATTTCTACTGTTGGCATACTGTTTAACTTTAAGCATCTGTATGGGCAAACTGTCATTGTCATCATAACCATCATCATCACCATCATCACAATCATCACCATCATCATCAACATCATCATGCCTTCAGACCTGATTTAGTTCACTAATGTTAGCAAACAACAATTGTCCTTTGTCTTTACAATCTATAAGCATGAGCGCCAAACTTTTAAGGAACACCAAAAAAGGTGAACCATCAAGTGTTTCAACTAAAAGATATACTAAAGTACTAATACTACTAACTACTAAAGCACTAACCTCAGAAGCATTGTAGTGTTTAAAGCACAGAACATCCTCTGGACCAGCATCAGGCTTGTACTGGATCTTCTGGATTCCTGCAAGAAAGGTGAACAGATTTAGGAACTACATACAGCATAAAAATGACATGGCTTTATAAAATTTGTCACCCAATCAACATGTATCTCTGCTTGTATACAGAGAGCTTACATATATATATACAGTGTGTAGATGTATTTTCCCATGAATTCTCCCAGAATGCCACAGGGAATTTGAATATTGAAGTCAGGAAATTAAACGAGATAACCTTTACTATGACATTTCCGGGACCTTTGACTTTACTTCCTGTCAACAATGTCCCCTGAGACAAGGTGCCAAGCATGCGGACGACATAACTACAGAAACACAAGCAAACAAACAAACAGATGACATGCTGAAAACAAGACCTCATGCAGAGTACAAACAGTTGTCAGTGAAACCTGTTTCTACTCACTGACAGCTGAGCTGGTTAATAAGTAATGGTGGGTGAGGTAGAGTTGAATGTATGTATTGACCTACTTGTATGAACTTATGGTCAATGGTTCTAAAGTCCAAGGCTTACTAGCTATGAGGGTCTGCATGGGGGGGTCCTGGCAACGGTTAACGGTAAATTCAGCAGGGCCGATAACGCTTAACGGTAAATTCAGGACGGTCGGCAACGCTTAACGGTAAATTGACAGGCTTTTTTTTCGAGCTGCACTGGATTTGGTATCTCGCTTTGTGAGAAAAGGTGATCACTGACAAAATTACGTATACCTTACATGTAATGAAGCATGCATTAAAGGTATGTGTTCCCTGTGTTTCCCACCTGCCCTGGTCCCCGAGTGCGTCCACAAATACCGGGGTGTCCGAGTCGACGTCGGCTAGCTTGCATTTTTTCAGTCTGCCCAATTTTACCGATGGATTTTGAGAGGGGAGCGCCGAAGGCGCTCGTAATCGTAGGGGGTCCGGGGGAATGCTCCCCCGGGAAATTTAGGATTTTTAAGCCTTCAAAAAAGCAATTTCCCGCATTTTGAGAGGCAAATAATGGTGTTGAGAGTGTTTGTCGGTTCTTCTGATGTTTTCATATTTTACTCAAGATTTTTGTTAATTTGCCTGTCAAGTTTGCATGACGGATTCGTTACAAAATTCTGTAACTCTCCGCAAACCTCCGGAAATTGAAGGGTAAACTGGTTCTGGCTAGAGCGGAAGGGACCGAGAGCCAGATGCGCGAGCAAGGCAGGCGCGAGCAATGTAGAGGGGGTCCGGGGGCATTCTCCCCCGGGAAATTTTGTATTTTTAAACCTTCAATGACGCATTTTCCTGCACTTTGAAAGGCAAAATTAGGCGTAACGAAGAATTATTCATTAACGCTTAACGCTGAATTTAGGATGACAAATAACGTTTTACGTTGAATTAAAACGACCCATAACGCTTCACGAGGAATATACTGATAACGCTTAACGTTGAATTAGAGCAGGCCGGCAACGATTAACGGTAAATTAAAATAGCCCATAACGGTTAACGAAAAAGGGCATGCAGACCCTCAGCTATGGAGCACAGCCAACTCTCCAGCTGACAAGAAAGAAGAACTTTGATCATTGATTGACAGTGGTCACCTTTTAGGAAATGACAAGACCTACTAGAAGTATCTCCCTGACATGTACCTGATTTAGATTCCCAGGATTCAGAATTAAATCCCATTCCTTGAAGCTTGAGTGACCCCCAACCCCCCGCCCCCTCCCCTTCCCGTCCTGCATGTCATTTTCTGGATAGAACGGTTTGAAGTAACAAACAGCAACTTGTCACATATAATGCAGATTGTTAAAAAAATGTTGAACTTACCAAAAAATCACCCAGCGGACATGGACCCCATCCCACCCCTATACCCCAGCTCAGGTGCCCCGCCTACCTACCGCCCACCGGTCCTGTGGCACTGCCTTCACACGTTCAGTTGTCAGTTCCACACAAACCTACCTGGAAAGAATTCCCCGTCTACACCGTCGACTGCGGCTCTCTTCTTGGCCTTTTTAGACGAGGCTGGCGCAAAGGAAGACATATTTCCAGAAGTAGCAACAAAACTTAATCAAACTCACTCTTTAGCTATCAGCTACCGTGGCCGACAAGTACAAAATTTTACACCACAACTTTTGATGTTTTACACCGCAACTTTTGGTGTTTTACACTGCAACTTTTGGTGTTTTACACTGCAACTTTGGGTGTTTTACACTGCAACTTTTGCTGTGTTTTACACTGCAACTTTTGCTGTGTTTTACACTGCAACTTTTTGGTGTTTTACACTGCAACTTTTGGTGTTTTACACTGCAACTTTTGCTGTGTTTTATACTGCAACTTTTGCTGTGTGGAAAACTTACACCCCTCCCCTTTTATAATGGACGGTCCCCCTGTCAGGTCAAAGGTGACAAAGATGGCGGCGGCCTGAGAGTCACAGTGTCTACAAATTTGTATATTTCTCACCTGTATTTCTCACCTGTAGCCGGTCAATAGGTACCCTGTGTGGGTAATGAGACCGCACTTCGGGTAGTTTCGGCGGTAGCAATTCTTCTCATGTGTTCAGTACGTAAAGGTGTAGTTGTACATATCCTGGTGATTCTTCCACTCGTGTGCAATATGGTTCTTGAACTCATTTACTGATTTGCTGGACACTGCTTCCTGGGAAAGAGAGTTCCACACTCTTGTGACTCTTGAAGAGAAGAAACACTTCCTCGTCCCGTGTGATTTTCTTCCCGTGGGGTTTCTTCTTCCCAGGTGCATTACTTTACACTTGTCAGGGTGAAACTTCATCTGCATCCTAGATGACCATCGCTGCAAAGTATTCAAGTCGGCCTGTAGGCATGTGGAGTGTAGATTGCTCGTGTGGATTTCTTGGGTCACATGTGTTATGGGCTGGCTCGTGTGGAGTTCTTGAGTCGCGTGTGTTCTGGCCTGGCTTTCACACCCGTGTGCAATGGCATAGATCTTTGTGTCGTCCGCAAACAAGGAAACAAAGTTATGTAGCTCATCGGGTATGTCACTGACAAACATCGAGAAAAGAAGCGGTCCCAACACTGACCCTTGCGGTACGCCACTCGTCACCGCTTTCCAGCTGGATGCTTGGCCATTTACTGGATGCTTGGCCATTTCCAGCTGGATGCTTGGCCGTATACGAGCGATCGCTGTTTTTGTTTACATTATACGCATGCAAATTATTTGAAGACATATGCAAATTCTTGGTAGGCAAATCAGCCAACTGGCACCCACTTTTTGCCTACGGTGACGTCATGGCGATCGCTCGTATTGTTCCCTAATGATCGATAACTTACCTGAGTCAAGAGTCAACACTTCATAATTGAAAATAAGTCTTTATTGCTTCATAGTACCAAGTGGTGCCACATTTGACTCCCATAGGCCCAATATTTACTCATCAAATTATTAGCGACCTTGCGAGTCCGAATTCTCTAGCTAGAAAATGTCACGTGACTCAAAGGCGGGGAAACGTGGAAGACGACTATCGCCGCATGCAAGCGTTTATGACATCATGCCACGATAGTTTTTAAAAGCTAATTACATATTTACGCCTTCAGACAGACATCATTTCTATCATACCATGCGTCGACATCAACACGTAGCGGTGCAAACGTTACCAACATTCACTAGATAGCAACATAATTTGTAATCACTGGACCTGGTCGAAACATTTTAAAATTTATCCCGACCTATAGGCCAAAGCTAGAAAAACCTTTAGAAAAAAACTAACGTCACAACGTAGCCAAGCTTTTCCTCTAAAAAACTTATGCACGAAAAGGATAACTCAGTCGACGTAGTTTGCATGCCATCGTTGTCACCTTTGACCTGACAGGGGGACCGTCCATTATAAAAGGGGAGGGGTGTAAGTTTTCCACACAGCAAAAGTTGCAGTGTAAAACACAGCAAAAGTTGCAGTGTAAAACACAGCAAAAGTTGCAGTGTAAAACACCAAAAGTTGCAGTGTAAAACACCAAAAGTTGCAGTGTAAAACACCAAAAGTTGCGGTGTAAAACACCAAAAGTTGCGGTGTAAAATTTTGTTCTTGTCGGCCACGGTAATCAGCTGATTGTACCCTCGGACTTTGTACGCATGTGTGGGACCCATGTGTTTTTGGAAGGGCTGGGGCGGTACCACTTATTGAGGGGGAGGTCATTTGGGGGGGGGCACACTAGCTTTTTGTATATCGATATCGATACCTATTACATGCCTTTCATTAAACAGATATGTATAACACTATATATGTCGATATCATCATATTTTGGATGATGCAACCTTATATTGATCATGATAAGATTTTAACTTCAGGATACCGTCTATGCCAGCAGATGGACTCGTCTTTGTTTGTTTTTTATTCAACCCGTCAGTTCCCCCATGACCCCATGACATACTTTCTGTACTTTGAAAATGAGTAAAAGAAAAGTTGATGATACTTCTAGTTGAAAGAAAGTATCTGAAAGAAATTCAAAGAAAAAGCATCTAATCGCCGCCCATGCTATCAACATTTGGACTAGGCCAAAGCCTTTGAACTTCCGTTTTTTTTACATGGCGGCGTCGACTCTCCTGTCACCGCCCTAGCTAATAAGTAACCCGAGATTGACACATCAAATCGACAACTTCCCGCCACATTGAAAGAAAGCAGGTAGGTCCTTTGGGCACTGCTATTAAATGTACAACGGGAAGTCCATACCTAGTGGACCCCGAGTGATGATTGCTGCATATACAAACATGGAATTCTGCTTTCAGTTCCGCTCGACTCATGTTGTTTACTTGTCATGAACTTCACTTGAATAGAATCATTGATCCTTGTAAGTTTCCTTACTGCTGTCAACTTCAATTCGAGTTACCGCAAAACTGTCATACGACATGCAGGGCCGTTAATGTCATCAAGCGAAGACGGGTTGTATGGAAGCCAAGACTATTAACCGGACAGGGTCTATGGCCACCCGGCGACGTTTTAGAAGCTTTAGTTTTCTTAAAACCATCTTTAACTGCACTGAATATAGCCTCAACTAGTTTCACTTTGCTGTTTTAAAGTGGCGTGATGTAACATGCCGTATCCCAGTTCAACGTCTACTATCATCAACGTCTACTTTTCTTCAAATTCTGAACTTCCGGGTTCGTAGCTTATATACATGGCAATGTCAATATGAAAGTTATTATCAACTGATATATGAAGGTTATTTAACAACTCAAATTATCATAGATATCAAGGGTATAACAAGAAAACTGTGCTATACTATATCTACTTTTAGAAGATATATATATATCGATATGCTTCTTACAGTTGTTCCGTCTTATCGTAGTGGGGGTATAGAAGATTGTAGTGGATCATGACTATCAAATTATTTGTATAGTGAATTACGATCAAAATATTTGTTCATAAACCATATCTGTTCACATAGGTCAAGATGAGCGCAATCAGTTGCCATTTAACGTGGAAGTCCTTAAAAGAATACGCACAAGACACCAAGAAGCTAGAGTTGGACTTGCCCCATATCGAAGAACATTACAACGAGACCCTCACCCTCCTCACAATGCGTTATGGCAACATCAGAGGTTTCATGCTATTCAACTTAGACCAGTCTAGGGAAGCCGAGAAGTCGTTTCGAAAAGTCTTAGAGGTCGATCCCTACAACTTGAACGCCATGGGAAATCTAGTCGTTCTGTATGAGGCACAGTTCATGTATGGAAAGGCTCGGGAGATGCAAGCAAAACTCAAAGCCTTGCTGGCAGAAGGTGGGACCAAGGGCGAGGCGAGACAAGCAAGGGCCATCGCAGAGCAGGTAAGGAGGATGGAAGTTGACGGACGATTTCGCTAAAAGAATTGACAAAAAGACATTTATATTATTCACAGTATTCTTACCTAATAATTTCAAATGGTCCTCAACTTAGGTGCCCAAAGTAAGAATCATGCCTGCACTTCATTACGCTTGTACATGTTTGAGAGTACCGTAGGCGTTACCGGCACGGAAGTATTTATTTTGGGTGCCTGAGCTGTCTGCTGACCTGTTTGTGCCAGCACGGAAGTATTGTTTTGAGTGGCTGGGCTGTTGGCTGACCTGTTTGTCCGGACAGAGTAGGTTGACAGCATGTGGGTTGGGAAAGATTGACAGGCAGAATGACAGGAGGTCAAAGGCCTCATAATCTGAACGGAAGCCAGCACGGATAGTTAGATATGGGGGAATTCAGGAAGCCAAGTAATACTTTCTGGAAGTCTGAAATCTCCAATTTCTTGTTTTGGTCACGGAATGCTCCTAAGCTGATTTGATAATGTCTAATTATGGTGTGTTATTAACTGATGTCATTAATAAACACGGAGGTTCTTTCTCTTATCAGGCCTTCGCTATCCAGTGGTTTGAACAAGACAAGCGTGATTTCGGACATCTCACGTATTTTGAGGAGGCAGCCCGAAGGTCTGAGCACGCCCTACCAGAAGAGAAGGTAGCGTGGAAGTTCCAGTGTGGTCTGGCCGTCTACAGGCTCTGTCTGCAGCTGCTACAGGCAAAGGCACCACTAGGGAACATCTTGTCCACACGATGCAAGGCTTTGTCATACTTTAACGACGCCATACACGTGTACGAGGAACACAGACCTGATAACTCTAGAGACGCTGCTCTGTGCTGGGTCTTCATCGGCATTATCGTTCTGGATACCGAGGAGTCAGAGAGACATGATCTTTTCAATAGGAGTCATGTTGCGGAGACCACACCAAAGGATTGCTTCGACACAGCGTTGGGCTTGAGTCGAACTCCATATGTTGTAAGAAGGATAGGGGAGCAGCTGGGAAGACCTGAACTGAAAGAATACGCCAAGGCATTGGGAATGTTAGACGAAGCACTCGAGCAAAACCCCAGGCGATGTGGGTGGTTCTGCCATGACAGGAAGGGAATCATATTCTTTACCATGTTCAAACATAAAACATCTTTGCAAGAACAGTCTCCGGATTCAATGCTGCAAGAGGCTCTGACAAACTTTAAGAAGGCGGTGGGATTTAAGGAAACTTATAGTGACTACGACTACATAGGACAGATTCACTTGGAGCTCGGTGACTACCAGTCCGCCATCTGTGCGTTCAGGCAAGCTGTTAATCATGGGATTGACGATCGTTGTAACCCAGGTTTGACACACAGGTACTCTTTTTCTTTTTTTTTGTAATCTAACACTCAAAGTCGAGTTGTTGCTTGTAGAATCAGTGAGAAATTCACAATAGTGAATTAAAACAAGAAATTCACACAAAAAAATCTAAATTTTCACGGAGGTATGAGATCGTTGATTTTTTTTTTGTTTCAGACTGTGGGCTAAGTGTCTGGAACAGTTGGATGAATTTGAAGGCGCGGAGGAGCAGCATTTCACAGCCAGAATTGTCGAGCAGAAACTTGCCCAATCTATGCCTGGTCACCCAATCCCTGGGCTCGATACTCTCAGGTCACTGTCAGCGTTCCGTCAGGTTAGGACGTCGTTTATGTTTACGGCTTCTGACGGATTTGTTGTTTTGAAAACTGTGTAGTCTAATAGATAAATGAAGATAAATAAATAAAACATATCATATTCTATAGGTGGAGATGCCAAGAAACAAACAGGGATACAAGTACGACTTCTTCGTGTCATACTCCAGTAAGGACGACGAGTGGGTGGTGGGCGTTCTGGTCAAGACATTGGAGGAGACATACGGGTTTAAAGGCCTGGTGCATGACAGGGACTTCCAGGTACGGTTGCAACTTGATGTTATAAGGACAATGTGGTAATAAGGCCTTGTGGTAAGGCTAGTATGAAGTCTAAAGGAATGCAGAAATTGGCAGCAATTTTGTACATGGAGTTGCTTTTGCTGTGGCTTTTGCAACTAATGGATATCCCGATAAAGTATCAAGTATCGAGATAAATGAAATGTGAAACGATAACCAACGCATCTCTTCCAGGTGGGGAAATCTATAATTGAGAATATTTCCCACGGCATCGACCAAAGCTTCAAAACCATCCTGATCCTGAGTGAGAACTTCCTCAGGAGTACCTGGTGCAGGTGGGAGGACGTTCTGTCGTACAGTACTTTGAAATAGATCCTAGCCTTATTAACCTCCATGTACAGACGTATTAATTTTACATTGGGTGCACTGGTTGTCTTTTTTCATTTCCTTGTGTGTTCGTAGTTATTTGAATACAGTAGAGGCACGGGAAGTGAGGGGGGAATAGCGTAACCACAGACTGACAGAAAGGTCGAATTGGAACAGACTGGGAGAGAGTGAGGTCCAATAATAATCTCCCCGGAGGCCAGGGCGAAGTGACAGTGGAGTATGTACAGAATCAGCCAGAAGTGCACAATAATGAATGAAACAAGAAATTAATTAATTCACAACAACTTTCAGTACTTCCCAGAGGTATGAAATCTTCGATTTGCAAGTTGTTTTGATCTCATTGTTATTTGGATACATTAGATATCCAACATGGCAGCATTTCCGTTTGCCCAGGTACGAGATGCAGCAGGTCCATCTTCGGGCCATGAGAGGCCGCGGAGATCACGTGATCGCCGTCCTGTACAAGCCTTGCGAGATTCCTGACGACATCGCCCACCTGACGTACCTCCCGTGTAAGACTGACGGCCAGCTGGGCCCTGACGGCTGGAGGAGACTTGAAGTTGCTCTCACTGATACTGAAGAAGAATGAAACAGTATACGAGATACATGTATTAAAGTTGAGACACCACGTCTACATGTCACGCTAGCAGCCATACAAGCCAATACATGACCGTAGGCTAAGTTAGAGATCGTAGTTTTTATGGTTTACAGACAATGAGGAAAGTCTTTCCCCAAAAATGTAAATTGCAAAGAATATTAGTTTGGGGGAAATTAATATTGTCAAAATGTATCTATAGAAATTAGCAGGCTGGTCAACTTTGATAAGTTTAAGTAAACTTTGTGCAATACACCTTCTCCGCTCAATTATTATAGCTAGAACATCGATATCGTCTCTTTTCTTCCTTTTTCATTTTACTTCAGGTACCACAAAACAAGATTTATTGTGAGTCACTGGAATGTTTTGGGGTAAACTAACTTCTAGTTTTAATATTATAACAGATGTCTGTTCATCTTTGTCTTTAACATGCTTAAGGTTATACCCACCAGTGAAGCAATACAATTCCTTATCAAAGAAATTCGTAAAAATTGAGATTTTTACACAAGTTCCCCAAGGAACTAAGAACTAGATATTATAGTCTAGACTTGACTAAGATTTCTTGAATTCGATTGAAATTCATTTGGACATTAAGTGATCGATGTTTACAAAGGTTTACCAAAGGACAAGATATAACGTTTACAGTCAAGACTTCAAGTTTGGTGCGTTTCGAATTCCTTTTAGCTTCAGGGTATATGTGAGACAAGCACAGCAGCAGATATTGCTTTCATTAGCCAACTGTCGCCTTGATAAACGAGTAATGGCGCCTTTCAGGTAATCTCGAACCTAGCTTAAACGACCGGTAACGGCGCGGTCACATTCGTCGTAGGTCGCCGTACGATTTTAAAGTCGCCAGCGCCATTCCATGCAGGCTGCAGCAGAACCAACCGCCGACAAAGATCATTCTCCCACGCACGGCAGAGCTATATCCCGCGGCAAATACGTGTACGTTAGTTAGCCTTGGGATTAGTAAGGAAGCACCCCTGCCTCGGGAGGATGACAAAGATCTGATACAACCCTTTTCGTAACAAGACATCTGGATTTTGCAGCACACTTGTGGCACAGAAAATGGCACAATAACACACCCGTCTTTCTACCACCATAGCACTCCACAGTCTATTTCGGTGGCATTGTGTTATTATTGTGCGGTTTCTCTCTTCGTAGACAGAGGCTGAATTGCGAGAGAAGCTTACACAATTGGTGGGACTGAATAGCAAGGTTTGGGAGCGGCTGCCGTTCAGTTAAGGCGACCAGGAATTAGTGGTTGACATTGGGGAATTATGGAAGCCGAGGATTGCATACTCGTACTTGGGGTTCGGGAATGAAATATCGTGCATATGATTTCAACGTCTACGTCTTTTCGGCAAACTTACATGTACTACGTGACATTTAGACATTAATTCTCTCTCCGACGACACTTAAATGCACCTTTTACTTTACGGGTCCTTCTGCTTTGCATTCAAAATTAATGGTGAAATTATGTGTCTTACCCAATATTTCATTACAACATGTACTATCCTCCTGATTTACAACATTTAGCACATTGCACTTGAGTCCTTCTTAAAATGTCACGGGAACGGGGGGTGGGATACCGCATTTGGTTATATCTAATTTGTCCCCAATATGCCTGCTTTGTATTGTTTGTTTGTGTACAGTTCTGCGTTATCTTTCTGTAGTATTATATCTTTGTTGATTATTTTATGTTCGATGGCGGCGCTTATATATAAGTGTAATTAACTTGAGTGCGTCGTCTTTTTTATTATTTATAAAAAAATATCGTCCATTTGCTTTTCAAGGCTCTCACTTTAATTTGCAGTACATATTTACCTAATCTTACTTCTGATCTTCAGAATGAAGCTCTCTGTGGGAATGATATAAATCCTCTGCAGGTAAGTTCACATAGGCCAATCCCACAATATGTTTAACTACTCAGTCGAAACGAGACTCTCTGTTTGGTATCGCAAAAACACATCAGCAATTAATATATTACTCGTATATCGTCGGTCAGCCTTCTACTCTCTCTCATGGCGGAGCTTAGAATCAGTGGGCAAGAGTACGGAGTTCGGAGCTAACTCAGATGACCTCAATACGACCCCAGGTGCGGCCATAGAGCTGTAAGGTTTTTGAATCACTCACACCGGGATAGACTCTAGCTCTTGTCGATGAGTATAGGGGGTTTTCTATCGTGCTCGAGCTGTAGCTCTCCTCAAACACATCCAAACCTCCTTCTGGAGCGTCAAATCCCATCCGAGACGACATCCCAAACCGAAGCTTGGTGTACAGTACCAGTGAAGAAATAGGTGTTAATTAACAATCAAAGGGCAAAACGTTGGGGCCGATCCATACAGACCTCCCCCCCCCACAAAAAAAACGAACGCAGGCCGCGCAGGAAGCTAGGAAAGTTACACACGTAGCACATGTTGCTTTGTCACTGCATTTATCCGTGGTATCATGAGGCCTAATGTCGGGTTTGAGTGTTTCGTCTAGAACTAGAAAGAGGTTCTAGGTTCCGATGTTGTGTTCTAGCTTGAAAAAGGTGCTTAACACGAATGTCTTCACTTCAATTCACTTGGATTAAATGGAGGTGTTTGAGCGGAGCGAAACCTCGAGCACTTAAAGAAGCCGTCCCACTCATCGAAAAGAGTGGGTAGTTCATAACCTTACACTCGCCATGGCCGCGCCGAATGGCAGCAGCTCCGGACCGGTACTCTTGCGATTCAGACCTACCAATTTCGAGCTCCTCATAATTCAACCATTGCCTGCAAGGATCTAGGAGAGAACGTAAGTTTGAACCTGTGACAGCCTTTGGCACTGTTCATATTTTGAAGAGGAAATCATCTCCTCTTGGATTACAGTAATCCTATTTTGGGGCAAAGTCACCTTCTCGATATGAGGCTGCACTTTCTCGTGTTGGTGGGTTATGAAAAGGAACCTTTAGGCTGTAACAAAAACTGAAAATGATCCCCCCTCCCAGTGGCTTGTTTTGGTACTGCAGTGGAACTTCTGGTTTTGTATCGTGGTCTGGACATTCTTTGGTCCCGGCGCATTTGGGAAATTAATTAGTAAATAGCTCTTGTGCTCGCGAAATGAAATGAAGTGGCATAAGGTTTGGGGCCTCTTCAGAAACACAGTATCAAACTGGATATGCTGTTGTGCCATTTAGGAAACCATTCACGTGTGCAATTTTTATTTGGGGTGGTGCTCCTCATTGGTTACAATATATTTTCTATTAGCAAGTATGCATTTACCTAATTTTAGAGTCGTCACACTTACGATATAATCAAATCTTACTGGCGCTACTTGAATTTCTTTGGTAACTTATTTGGCTATCAATTCTGATACCCATCTGTGTACAGGATAAACTTGTCTTCAGACTCATTCTCAGTCACTGACGAATGATACATTTGTATGATAGCGGATGCTATCTGAAACGTCTGACTCTTCAGGGAATTTATTTAGTCCCTGGATTCATTTTGTATTACGTCAGGTTCTACGTAAATGTCTAGCCTTAATCGAGTGATCTAGATAAATAAATACTGATTTTTGCAGTTCATGTATCTTCTTGTTTCATCTTTCTTTTTGTTATCCAACTCTTCCGTGATGTTCAAGGACAGCTACAGATGACGAATTGTGTTAACCTACAGTCAGCCATGATAGAGTAGAAGTAAATGTATCCCTAAGCTGGTTCTCTACATGTAGATTAGGTACGGGAGAGACCGGGCCATCGGCTAGAAACCTTACCAAAAACCGAACATAACTCATGCACAGATCTACTCTTCCGCTTCTGTCCCCCTGTCAGTTCAAAAGCGTTTACTTTGACCTTTCCTTGTAACGAATAGTCAGGATTTCCGCCATGTCGTGATCGTGGTATGATTTATGTGTGTCAAAAGGCCCATGTTGGCCATGTTGTCTTTATCTGGCAGTGCAATGAAAATTATAGTCAAGTCAAAGTCTATTGGACAGGACTTGCAACAGGTACAGCATATTAGGTTATATGACGTCTGACTATTTAAAGTGTTGTATATGTCACCTAGCTAGCGCTAATCACATTAAACTAGTGTAACGTCGATTTGAAGCCATACAATATTGATAACAGTGTAAACTGTAAGACA